CGTATTATAACTGATAATATGATCAGTTCTAATATTAAATCACTGAAGGGTTTAAGAAAGTTTAAGCGAAACTTTAACTTAAACTTTATTAATTAATTAATTTTAAGTAATGAATTAGAAAAGAAAAATTAGTGTCGCACAGTGTAATTAAATCTTAATTTTATTGATGTGTACATTTATTGGTAGATTGCAGGTTAAAAGAATTCTGTTTAAGGGATTCGCTTTAAGACATATTACTAAGTACATACCTTCCAAGCTGAAATCCACGCAATCAACTTATGCGTAAGATCCAATTTAATCAAAAAATCTTCTGGCTCGAAAATCGTTATTTACTCTGACAGCCAGGCTGCTCTTAAAGCTCTTTCTTCTTGGACTTTCAAATCAAAATAGGTCCTTGAGTGTTACGAGCTTCTGCAATCACTTGCAGCTCGGAATAAGGTAAGCCTTTACTGGGTTCCGGGTCACAGAGGAGTTTTGGGAAATGAAAAAGCTGATGAGCTAGCCAGAACTGCATCAAAAACTGCTTTTATAGGCCCTCAACCCTTTTGTGGAATAAACTAACACCGTACTCCTACAAAGACATTCTTAATTTCTCAAAATGTAATTTAAGGTTGATAACGGGTTTCATTACAGGTCATTATGGTCTGAAATATCACCTTCATAAAGTACAATTATCTGCTAACTCGGAGTGCAGATTATGCCTCGAAGATGAGGAAGCGACCATGCACTTTCTTTGTGACTGTCCAGCTTTAATAACGCACAGAAGAAACCTGTTTCATAAAGAATTTCTGTCACCAGAACAGATTAAGAACTCTTCTCTAGATTTAGTTCTAGACTTTATTCACAAAGCTTTAAGGGGCTTTGTTTAATCAATAGTAAAACTGGTACAATAGGTCTCTTCTGGCCGCAGTACCGGCTGTTGGGCAATTTTCACGTCAACTCTTTTAATATTAATAAAAAAAAAGTACATACCTTGGTCAGAAATTATAATAATGATGTGAAGATATTACTTAATCCTATATTCTGCATATTGAAACCAAAATACGAATATATTTAGTTATAGCAAAAAATAAATACGTAGAGATTTTTATGGAACTGTTAAGTATAACGACAAAAAAGGGTTAAAAAGTTTCTGAATACAATTATGGCGCACATCAAAAAAGAAATAATATTTATATTAACTACAATATAATTAACTACAATGTAATTAACTACAACAAAATTAACTACAATAAAATTAACTACAATATAAGTTAAATTAATATAAAATTAATTATTTAGAATTTAAATATCTTAATTTATAGGTAATTCCTGTCTGACTAGTAATTAAAATTTACTTAATCACTCACTTAAGTCATTTCTTAATTATTTACGTCATTGGTGTACTAACAATGTGTGAAATGTTTCTTGCACTGAATAAATATATAATTTTAAAATCCCTTATTCAATCGCATTATAATTACAACACATAAATATATGACTATTATATATAACAATTAAATAAATTTGTATATTTTTAATTAATTTTAAATAAAACACAAAACTCTAGAAAATCCAGTTATTGGATTAAGAACAAACTGCATTTAAGTCAGTGAATCATGTTATACAGTTTTGCATAATTATAAATACAGTGTCTTCACTTCCTGCAAATAACCTACTGAAATTAAAATTCAGTAGATTAAAGTATCTCAAACAGTGCAGTGATGAACAATAAAATTATTCTATGTGCTTTGGTATTGATTTATTCCGCGTTCACTTCGAGTGATCAGCATGATGATTATCTTAAAGATCCTCGTAAGTGAAAATAATTAGCTTAAAAAATGTAATAAATATATATAGAACTGAATATATTAATATTTATACGATGTTTTAGCTGAGTTTTGGAAACCATGCACAATACGTTCAAATGTTGATGAGAAATGCTTTGGCAAAATTCTGGAACAAATATTCAAAGTATGGAAGAATGGTATGTAAAATTATATAAAAGAATATTTGATATATATGATATCTTTTGTTGATGTTGAGTTATGTATTACTTTTTATTAATTATTAATTATTTTAAAATTTTATTAAAATATTTCGGTTTTTATATAAACAGAACTTATATATACTGATGTTGTTACAGGATTCATTATAAGATTTGATCTAGCCATACACTGTTTTATAAATGTTCTTTAATTCATATATTTAAATGTTTGAGTATTTAAGTATATAATCCATTAATATTCTTCGCAAATCTTACGTAATTTTAGACAAAAGAAAACTGGAAGTAACAGGTTATGAAAAATATAAAATAATATATCTGATCACATTTTTTTTCTAAGAATTCTCAATAATGAATGAATTCAATAATGAATGTATTCTTTCAGCACTTAAAGCCCGAATTTCAGTCTAAGGAAGGATTACTTAGGAGTTTATATTATAACCATATTTTTAATTCTAAAGAGTGTCTGATTATTTAATGTTTTAGAAATTAATATAAAAAGCTGATTATTGGGAAATTTGTATTTAATTGGTACACAATTTCAAACACAATAAGACTGATTTTAAGGACTTATGTCCTTCGATAATAACTTTGCCAGCAAAACTACTTCAAGAGAGAAATGGGAGGCAGAGGTATTTTTAACACTAGGAAAGATAGCGATCTGCATCTTCGGGTCTAAGATGAATAAAGATAAGATAAATAAATTAACTCTAGGGTTAATTTAGAGTCGGACTTAGGGATAACTAAATCCTACTATCTCTCCGAATCCACAACAGTGTATCAGAAATTTTTGCCATTCTAAGAGCATGTTCTTTTACTTTAAATATGAACATCTGTGAAAAGGAAGTCTATATTCTTACTGACATTCAGGTAGTTATTAAATCTGTATCGGCAGTCTGCATTTCATCTAGATTAGTACAACAATGTAGGCAATTTAATAACATACTAATCGAAAGGTCCAAGATAACTTAAGTTTGGGTTCCGGGTAAGTTGATTTCTGACTACTTTATGCGACAGGCAAATAGAGAGTGGGCTCATGCTTCCTCAGCAACCAGGCCAAGGACTACATTATAACTTATTTCAAATGTAGAAACTCTGACTTGATATATAGAAGCAAATCAGGGGTGTCTGTCTTTACAGGGCACTGCACCATACGACGGTATAGAACTAAGTTCGGCTAGCCCTTTAATATCTCTTGCAAGAAGGAGCATCAGTATTCCGGGTGTATATTTGTCCAGACATGTCCAGAACCAGGCTTAAGTTTTTTGAGCCTCTTCTTTAACACACTCAGCGATACCTCTAGCATCAGTGTTGACTTGACTTTCGCTTTTATGAATGCTTCTGGCTGATTCTAACTCAACCAGAAGAATTACTATTATGAAAAATTATGGAATCAAAACGGCTTTCGTAGCTAATTGAGGAAGATTCGTTTCTCTCTCTACTTCACCTCAACTAAACTAAGGCTCAGATATGCGGCTAATGAATATATAAAAAGTTTGAAGGAAGTATTTAGTTTCACAAAAATGATTAGTGGTTTAATCCTTGTTGAGAACAAGATGATCGCGTTTGTACATTATTATATGTGAAGACTAAAATTCCCTTTACATATTTATAATAATTTATAATAATAAATAAATTATTTAAATTCTTAAAAATTCTTTGCTAATAAATTTTATTTTATTTAGGTGTACCTGGAGCAAAAGAAGTTGGAACTTTCGACCCATTGACATTAAAAAAGGCACGTTTGTCCACTCAGAGATTAGGTGATTTACAATTCGAGTTCAATAATTTAGAAATTTATGGTTTAAGTAGTGTAAATGCATACAAGAGTAGGTGAGATTTAATTATAAAGCCAAACTCAAATATTGTAATTATTTATTTGGAACACAAATCTCAATTTCAGTGTTGACCCTAATGATTATACCTTCGTGGTTCATATGAAATTCCCTTCGATGAAACTTGTAAGTGATTATAAGTTGAAGGGTCAAATTTTGGTATTAGCTCTAGATGCAGAGGGCGTTACAAAAGCAGACACAAGTAAGTAAAAAAAATTAATTTATATGGTAACTTCATATTTAATATATTCAAATTTAATTAATTTTAGAGGATTTCGATATGGTTATGACTATTAAATCAAATTTGAAGAAACGCCTTGACGAGTACTTCTTTGATGTTCTCTCAGTCTCTACTGAAATAAAGGGCATAAAGCATTTTCAAGTGCATTTTACTAATCTTTTCCACGGTCAAAAAGAGTTGGAAGATAGTGCAAATGCCATATTTAATGATAATTGGCCTACTTTATTCGAAGAGCTACGTCCAGCTGTCGAAAAAATATTTGATACAGTTACAATAAAACGTTTAACAAAATTGTTCAATTATATACCAGCTCGATATTTTATATCTGATTTATCATAAGTAACTACGTGACAAATATATGTTTTGGTAAAAAAATCTGTGTACTTTCTAATTATTTTTTAAAGCATTTTTGGTTGTTTTTTTTCCTTAGCTGTGTTTTATTTGCATTGCATATATATGCTTAATCTTTATATGGACATTATCATCGATGCATTAGTACAGATTAAAAAATTGTCAACATTCAATTTTCCAAATATATAATTTTTTAGTTATTTAAGTATTTATTTTAGAATATATTGTAAAATTTATTTCTTTTTTGAAACCGTGAATACAGATTTGCATCTGCGGTGTAATGAAAATTTAATTAATGTGGCATTATTTCAAAGATGTTTTCTACGTTCGAGATATAGGAGAAAATTTGTGGAATGGCGGGAGGGTCTACTTTTAGAATCAATTTTCAAGTAGTAATAAAATGGTATTTAAATTATTTTAAAAACCTTATTTCTCTTATTACAAAAGTCTTTTAAATTTAATTATTTCGATTATATCTATATATCATACATGATATCTATATATATAATACATTATATATAAAAAAGCAGTCAACTTGATCACAAAAGTCAATTAAAATATTTTAAAAAATTAACTAAAAATATTAAAGATGAAGTCGGTTTCAACTCAAACCACAAGTGAATTAGAGAAGACTACTGTAGTTGAAAAAGTTGAAGTAGTTGAAGTAGTTGAAGAAGTACAAATAAAGAAGACTACACATAAAAATTATTCAACAAGATATGAAAATGATATAGAAATTCGTAATGCCTTAAAGGAATTCTTATTATATTTACTTTTCCTGATTGTTGCACTTATTGGTATTAACTGTTTTAAAACAAAAAATATTTATCAATTTAATAATCCATTTTTAGTGGCATCATCAGTTAATCATAAATATATGTTTTATTTATATAAGACAATAGAAAATCTATTCATAATCACTCCAGAATACTATGATTTAGTTACAATAGCAGAATGGTGGTTATATGCTGAAAATGGATTTGCACCCGCGCTCTTGGGTGATAATAATGGTAATGAAGTCATAAATGAACGATATTTTCTTGAAGAAAATATATTATTGGGTGCACCTCGATTAAGGCAAATCCGGGTTAAAAGTGATTCGTGTCATATACCAGATGCTTTCAAAAGATATTTTAGTGATTGCTATGCACAGTATCATGAAACAACAGAAGAAAAGGAGGGAGATTTTCAAGGGTATTAGAAATTTCTATGTAACTATGAAATATGTATTATACATATTTGTAGATCAAAGTTTTACACATTGGATGAGTTGAATGATCGACCGATATGGGCTAAGTATGCTACTTATTATGGTGCAGGTTATGTTCAAGAATTAGATTACAACATGAATGCTACGATAGACACACTAGAGTCACTTAAAGAGGAAAAATGGATTGATCGTGCTACACGAGTTGTAGTTTTAGAGTTTGGCTTGTACAACGCAAATGGAGATTTTTTCACTAACGTTAAGTAAGTAAAGAATAGATGATAAATGATACGGCGACAATAGAGTACAAAAATCAAAGTTGTCGAATAAGAGGACAAAATAAAGAGAAAAAGCATGTGAACGATTGAAGTCAATCGTTCTTAATATATAAGTGCTGCTCACAACTCCAATTTGAGGTTTAAAAATATGTTATAATGTCAGGAGAACTGAGACTAACAATCTTCCTAAGTATTTATTAATTTTATTTTCATTCTTACATGAATTCAGAGACTTCTTTAATCATATTCAATAGCACCATATACATTCTTTGGTTCCATTTAGATTAATTAATTTTTCTATCACAAACAACTGCGAACAATTGATAGAAGATATAATATATCTTCAGCTGATTGATATATTTAAAAATGTTTATATATGGGTTGAGTTTTAAAAAAGTGTAACCTGTTTTAACAAAAAAAGTTTAATTGTTTTTTTTTTGTTTGGTACTTACAAAAACTACATAACTTTTAAAGAATAATTGCAGAGACACCTATTTCGGGTGGTATAATAACAAGTAAGAGCTTGGAATCATTCAATACGCATGAAATATGGACTGACGACGACTATCTTCTAATAATCTGCGCTATTATCTTCTACATAATGATTATTTTCTACACAATACAAGCAGTAAGGGAATGCCGTCTCGTTGGTTGGCGCAATTACTTCAGTTCTTTATGGAATATTGTGGATGTACTAATACTAATTGTAAATTTAAATTATGTTTAATTAGCTATTTTCTTAAGATATTCATATTTTTCAGATGGCATACTTAGCATTTGTGTATCAAATTGTTCACATATTCCTTGTAAAAGCCTTGCTTAAACGAGTGACAGAAGACGAGGATGGCTTTCATAGCTTGGATAATATATGCTTCTGGAGCTCATTGTATGCAGACTTGTTGGCAGTTTGTGCATTTTTTATTTGCATTAAAGTTTTCAAATATATTAGTTTTAACAAAACATTGCTACAGTTCAGTACAACTCTACAAAGGGTAAGAAGTTGTACTTGGGGAGTACATATATAGTTTAATATATTCTATTAAAAATTTTCTTTATTAAATTAGTGTGCCAAGGACTTGTTGGGTTTTGGTTTAATGTTTTTAATTGTATTTTTGGCTTATGCACAACTGGGGCTTTTGCTTTTCGGCGCTTATAACTATGACTTCTGTACTTTTTGGGAATCATTAATCACACTACTACGTATGATACTTGGAGATTTTGATTATGCAGGCATTGAAAGTGCTAATCGTATATTAGGACCACTATACTTTTTATCTTATATATTGTTAGTGTTCTTTATTTTGTTGGTAAGTGTTTGTGTTTTAAGTTAATAAATTTATCTAAATTTAATTTTTTTTATTTAGAATATGTTCTTGGCTATTATCAACGACACCTACAGTGCAGTGAAAGAAGAAATTACTGCGGGTAAAAATGAGGTCATCGTATATTTGAAGAAAATATTTAAAAAAGTATTTGAAAGAATAATAAAGCGTCGTAAAAAGGAAGATCGTGATCTTAAAAATGTAGAAGCACCAGCTGAAAAGGGCAGCGAAACAACACTTTATCCTAGAACTTCACTAACAACAACTAGATCAGCAAAAAGCAGCGATCCAGAAGTAATTTATGTGACTGAAAGTGAAGTGATAAGGGAGTTAGTATTGTGTCTTTTTACGTTTTTAAAAAAATCACTATCACAATAAATGGAATATATAACATATAATTATTTATATAAAATATACTATGGCTATATACTCTTTTTATTTCTACAGCTACTTTGAAGTATATGAACCGCCTGCGAATCGTTTACAACTAAATAGGTTTGCATAGAGATTGTTTATTTCTATATATAATTGTATCTGTTCATTTTTTAAGTTTATCCGATCGAGTAACATTGTTGGAAAAAATTTTAGAAGGTTTAATAGTAAACTTGGATACGATAATAAAAAAAGTTGATGCTAAGAAACGAAGGGACAAGAAAAATGCTTAAATTTAGGGAAACTAACCATTTTAAATATATATAATTTTTATAGTAACATTATATATATAATCATATATTATTTTTTTTCAGTTTAAAAATTATGATCAAATACGATTTTTAAATAGCACAATTATTAACGAATATTAATATTAAATAAAATACAAATTTTTTTTAAAATTAAACAATATGTTTTTAATTTTTTATAAAAATAATAGAGCTATATAACCAAAATCTTTGAGGTCTTTTAATTTTAGCCCATTGGAATGCAAAGGAAATAAAAATTAAACGGTTGTAATGTGGCAAGGTTTATATAGAAAAAGAAAATAAAATTATTATAGTTACACTGAATATATACGTCAGAGAGGTTCAATTGTGTGCTTGTTCTTAAACATAAATATGTGAACGTTTTTCTTTACAAAAATATTGTAAATTTGACATTCATCAAATATATATATAAAGACATTACACTCTTAGCTTTCACTATGCTTCATAAGCTAATGGAGAACCAGGATAATGGAATAATATTAAAAGTTGGGCTTGGGATGAGTGAAATAAGGAAATGCCAATATGAATAAGCTTTTGTAGAAGTAGATAGTGTGAGGCTTTAACTCATTAAAACCACTTCTTAAAAATGAATGAAAAAGATTTCTATCGCAATGTGGAGACTTACTTCCAGTAATTAAGAGAGAGATATGTGCTCGATAGGCTTAAAACGTAAAAGTCTAGGTTTATATAAGTCAGAAGCATGGGCATGGCGCAACTGACAGACAAGAATGATGAAATCTAAAGGTTTAGGCACACCAAGAACAGACAAGTTTTTGTGTTAGAAATAACTATGTATTAAGTAGTTATAATCTGATCAGATACAGTTTTTTCGTAGTGCTGTTAAGTGTCGTATTGCTATGTGCGATATAAAATAAAATCAAATAAAAATTGCAAGAAACGAAAAGAACATTCGAAAAGAATGTAATATTTATGGAACATATGAAAAGTTTAAGAGTGGCGAGTAAATAGTTAAGGCTAGATTAAGTTCAGATTTATAAAGAACGTACTGGTTACTGAAGCATTAGCACAGTTTGAAAGTACCTTCGTATACTATTGTTCAAGATATTTTTGCTATACGCCTATTATTATTATAAAATTAAAGACATTAGAAAGTATTTTTATATACACTAATCTTAACTTAAGTTATCATGTTTTTCAAATAGTAAGCTTTGAAAACATTTGCAAAATTTACTAGTCATAGATCGATATTTTCTTCACTGAATATAATTATTTTGTTAACATATAATCCATAGAACTAAGTGAAAGATATGGAAAAACCTCAATTGCATACAAATAAAACTTTTTCTGGGAAGAGTAAGCAAATAAGATACACTGATGTAACAGAGGTGCGCAAATCTTTACGGGAATTCGGTTTATACATATGTTTTCTCTTTGTAACAGTTATCGGTAACGACTTTAATATTTTAGATTTTTATGTTACTTTAAAAAGTTTGTTTATAGTCGCATTATCTTCAAGACATAGTTATATGTACTACTACAACAAAACTATTTACAAATTCTTTCTGGAAAGACACGAAACAGCAAATAATTTTATGATATCTTTCAACGATATCTGTAGACTTTCTGATTGGTATTATTTTTTAGAAAATCATTTTTTAGAAACAATGTACAATGGAATGGAAAACAATGGAACTCCAAGAGTTTTTATGGAAAAAAACCTACTTCTAGGTCCACCGCGTCTAAGGCAAATACGTGTTAACGCTGAAGAGTGTTATACGTATAGTGAAATACGGCGATACTTTCAAGTATGTTATCCGAAGTATTCAGAGAGATTTGAAGAAACAACTGATAATTATAAGAGGTTTGTGTGATTATTATTTGTTATACCTTAAAATATAATTGTTTTATATATAAATGATTTAAGCTCTAAATACTTTACGTTAAGTGATTTAAGTGCTACTTCTATAGAGGGAAAATTAGCAACTTATAGAGGTGCGGGATATGTGGAAAATTTGAGTTATGATAAGGAAGAAACTGAAGAAATTATAAAAGGTTTACGACACAGTGATTGGGTTGATAGAGGAACAAGAATTGTTATACTTGAGTTTTGTTTATTTAATGAAGACTCAGAGTTATATGAAAGTGTAAAGTGGGTATTATATTTTTTATATGTAATATACCCACCTCAGAGTTCTATTTTATTTGCATTCAGATTTTTAGGAGAAGTTCCTCCAACTGGTGGTATAATATCTAGTGCACAACTGCGATCCATAAAATTGGGTGGTTTATGGTTAAGTGGTGACTACTTCGCCATAATATGCGCTATAATATTTTATGTGCTGACGGTTAAATTTACTTTGGAGGAAGTAAAAGAAATTAGAAAAAATGGTTTTTGGACATATTTATGTATACTATGGAATTTTATAGATATAACTGTTTTAGTGGTCAGTGCAAAATTATTATATTTTCATATAAAATCAATATCTCCATATCTTTGATAATAGATCGCGATTATTAGTTTTATCTATAACATATATCATCCAATATATGGAAATTATTTGTTGCAATTAGCAGAAGATCCTGATGAATATGTGAACTTAGACAAAATCGCTTACTGGAATGTAATATATAATGATTTAATTGCTATTTGCGCATTTCTTCTGTTTATGAAAATATTTAAATATATCTCGTTCAATAAGACTTTACTGCAGTTATCAGAGACTTTAAACAGAGTAAAGTTAACTATAAATTGAATGTGAACTTTCTATATATATATATATATATTTACGTTCTTATTTCTTTTTTTTTAAGTGTTATAAGGATTTGTTGGGATTTGGCGTAATGTTTTTTATAATTCTGATGGCGTATGCTGTTTGTGGCTTCATTTTATTTAGTCAACATGTAGTAGAGTTTAGTACTTTACTGAATACTTTAAGCACACTAATGAGCATTATGATGGGTACCTTCGATTATACTAATTTGGAATACGGTAGTCCTACATTAGGTCCAATTTTTTTCATTTCATATATAGCGCTGGTTTATTTTATACTAATGGTAAGATAATTTTTTTGTTTTTAGAAATCATTAGATTGTGATATTTGTATATATATTTTGTAGAATATGTTTTTGGCTATTATATTTGATACTTATAATACAATTAAAAATGATATTAAGTCAGGACCAAGAGAATTAAATACTTACCTGTCTAATGCTATGAAAAAGTTAAGACAGAGAATGTTAACGAACAGAAAGAGACAACAAGAAGTAACAACAGTATTGAATGAATCCACTGAAGTAGTTGCTGAACCAAAACCCACATCGGTGGATCAGAATACAACCCATCAACCAACTAATGAACCGTCGAATATGACTGAAAGTTTTGTTGTAAGAGAGTAAGATTAATTCAGAATTTTTGTATAAAATATTTAAAATGGTAATATTTTCTTTTAGGTATTTTGAAAATTATATAAGGGATGAAGAAAGACGAAAAATTATTAAGTACAAAATATATTAAAGTTATATACATATACATACTATAGTATTATATATTTGTTTAGTTTAGCAAATCGTATAGACTTACTCGAAGATGTTATTAAAAAATTATCTGTAGATGTGGAGGAACTACTGAAAAAAGTTAAATCAAAACAACGATCTCGATCCTAATGACCTCTGTTATTATTCTTCAGTTTTAATAATACGTACTATTATTATCATTTGTTGAAGTGAAAATAATACAATCATGTGATTAATATATATATCACAATAAAAATTTAATTTAATATTAGCATTATACTAATAATATTCCTAAATATTAAATATATTGTACTATATTGTATATTATTTTAATTTCAACAATAACCAAACATTTAATTTGTCTATATAAAAGATGATCAATATAACAATTTTCATACACTACATTTTAATAGAGAAACACATAACTCACAGCGATCTTCCTTAGACTCTACTAAATTTTTTGGACCGATACTGTTGCAGAAAGTTCTAACAAAACTTATCATTCTTGAACTGTAAATAATAAACTTGAATTGTAATAAATACTTTTTGCTTTTCTCTTTTTCTTCACAACAAGAGTACTATTACATAGATCCAACTGGAAGGATCTAACGCAAATAATGTAAGTAATTGGAAATTGCAATGGAAGAAAGTCATCCGGCTAGTAAGCTGTTTAATTCGATACCCACAGGTGGAAAACGCGGTAGCCGACGTCCGTTTCTTTGGTGGAAGGACCAGGTGACCAATGTTTAAGGGGCGCTCGGTACTACCAATTGGCGACAGCAGGCAACAAATCTAGCTAGCCGGCGGAGGCTACTCGGAGCGGTGAAGGACGGCTCACATCTGTAATGGCCAATTTCGGTGGAAGGATCAGGTGACCAACGTTTTAGGAGCGCTCGGTACTATCAACTGGCGACAGCAAGCAACAAATCAGGCTGGCCGGCGGAGGCTACTCGGAACGGTCAAGGACGGCTCACATCTGTAATGGCTAACTAAGTAAGTAATTGGAAATTGAAAGGGCCATTTTTTTTCTAAGTCCTTACCTAAATTTAAGTTTATTTTTATTTTCTTAAACTGTTATAAATAAATTTGACTATGATGTGTATTATCTCATCTATTGCCGGTATATATCAGGAGTTATAAACATCAAACGTGATTGATATCTCTCCCGAAAGTTGAAGATACATGTAATACATATACACATATATTGTCAAAAAATAAAATACGCTGTCATTCCGTAGCATAATAGACCAACTGAGTTGTGGTGCAAAGTATTTTCTACGTTATAATAAACTTCATCATTGATAACTTACGGTCCTGAAACAATAGTTTCCATAATATGTCAATTTGATTTTATTAATTATATCCTAAATTCATATAAATTTGATCGAACTTGGAGTTGGTCTTAATATGTCAGCTTGATCTTATTATTAATATCCTAAATTCGTATAAATTTGATCGTAACTTGTATTTAGTATTTAGTATTAATTTCACTTTTACTTTCACTTTTTCAACTTACTAATTGCTTTAAGTTTATAAGATAAGTGGTTTAATGTTTATTGGATAAAAATTAATTTTTTTTAAGTGTTTATGTTTAGTGCTTTAAATTTTGAATATAAATTGTTAATTTGAAACTAGAAAAATACAATTTAAAATAAATCAATAAAAAATCTATAGATACTCAAGTGTATACACATATAACGATTTTGCTCAGAACTAAAATAAAGCATAGCTGCTGTTGCTGTGGTTAATATAATTGACTTTATTATTCCAATTTATAACTGTGTTTATATGCACGTATGAACATAGATAAATTTTAAATTTGTTGAGAAGTAAATCTATTATTTTTAATTTAATTTGATCTGATCAAAAAATACATAAAGGATAGAGCCCTGAAATTATTTACGCGTTTTCGAATCTTCGAATGGTTACACGCTCCTCGGGGAGGTATACAGGTCTGAGGTCAGTTATTGCTTGGGCTGATGAAGTGATAAACAATAATTCAGTCAAAGTGTAGAAAATGGTTACACGCTCCTCGGGGAGGTATGCAGATCTGAGGTCTGTTATTGCTTGGGCTGATGAAGTGATAAACAATAATTCAGTCAAAGTGTAGAGAGGGATTATGAAGGAACGCCGCAGTTATTAGAGAGTAAAAGTGTTGAAGTACACTGACTCAACTGGTCTCAACATAAAAATTGAACTATTAGCAATCTTAAATTGGTGCAATGAAGAACTAAATGCACTTTGTAGTACCAAATTTCGTAGTTATTAAACCAGTATTTGTTTTATTCCATTTAAAATTGAGGCGATTTTCAATAGCTGACATAATAGGTTTACAGTATGACGGTTAGGACTTTATCTCACATATTTCGTAAGTACTTTCAAAATAGTGGTTTACACGGAAGTGTAAAAATTTTACAGATACTTTATGCATGCTTTCATGTAGTAAATATGTTATAATTGTGAGTGTACATCAATTATAATATTAAAACCTGTCACCTGTGTAAATTATGGTAATATATAATATTTTTATTTGATACTTAGCAAAATTGTGTAATTTATTCGATTAAATTTATTATTATATATGTAGTTTATAGTTGATATATTTAAATATGCAATGCTATCAACGTTAATTGAAACTATTTGAGATATTTACGCTTCACTTTCTCATTCCTCATAATGTGCTCCGCTTTTAGTTTAATAATGTTTTGAAAATGTCTACAAATCATGATTTTAATATCGCAAAATGACGCGTTTATTTGGATTTTATACATAAACACTACACATACATAAGCGGACACCCATTGCTTACTGATACGTTTCAGCATAATGTAATTTATTAATTGTAATTGTAGTTAGATACTCGTACCTCAAGCGGGCGTATAATTGTTGAATTCCTATACAGATGAAATTTTTCTTGACTGCATTCCAAAGTAACTTCGCCCAGTATTTGCATTGCACACTTGCAAGCGCAACTAAAGTAGCTCAGTTTTTACAACGCCAGAACCAAACTAGCAAAAGCGAGTCCAATTTTTGCTCCAGTATCTGCAACTCTATTGCCTCACATACAATATGGTTTGGTGGCCAGGTTTGTTTACCAGATATCGCAGCTGATCGCTCTTAACCGAACTTAATTCAGCTCTGTTGTTATTTTCCGCTTGCGAACGGACTTTGGTATAAAAGCGTACAACGCCTTGATTTTCTTTTGAGTACGTTGTTTCGCAGAGTCTCGTGCAAGTGTAAAATTTGTTTAAAAAAATTCTATTTCTACAATAGATTTTTTCTTCATTTTTTGTTTAGATACAATTTGCAGTGCACTTTACCATTTCAGTTTGAAATTGTTTTTCGAACAGGTAAAGATTGGTTTAGCAACGTTGGCTTTTAATAAAAAAACTTCTATACAAAAAAAAAAAAACTTTAAATTATTATAAATTTTGCAAACCAACACAGACTGTTTACGTGTGAAATAACGAAATAACGAAATTATTTTGTGAATTTTTAAAAATTATTTTGGTGTTAAATATAGAGCAGATACTCTTACGGATACTATGCTGAAATTGGTAAGTTTATTTATTATGACGCAATAAATGAATTATAATATACAGATATTTGTGAGTCATAAAAATTATGCTATATACTGTATATGAAGTTACATCATATAAATATTAATAGATTTTTGTACAATCTCACAGAACTGAACTAATAATTTTTAATAGTCATTCACAAATTTTCTGTTCTACGACAATAAATCAATTTTCGAATAGAAAAAGGTTTTATGGTACCAACAATTTTAATTTATAAATTAATTTACTAACAACTCTACAAATATTTTAAATTGCTATATCTTATATATAACAATTTACAAATAATTACTAAAAAATGGATTGTTTGCATTAATATCTAAGGCGTAATGTATCAAATAAAACTATAACAGGAGTTTAATCGAAAATCGAAATATCTTGGAATAATAATTAAAGTTAAGATAATGTATTCATAAATATATTTATAGTTAGGAATTTAATACCTCGAAATAGCTCACCTGCAGTTATATACTAGGGATGGGATATAAACTAATGTTTAACGAGTTGTATGGAGTCAAAAAAAAATTTTAATATTAACAGACTTAAAACAATATCTCAAAAAAATACATCAGGTGTGGAGTGTTTTACTACTTTCAATACACTATTGAAAAGTTGATTTTACACAAAGAGGATTTTCTATTTGGAATTATAAATATAAACTAAATTGTAGTTTATAAACCTTTCCAACACTTCTTAAATAAAGTCCAATTCAATTCCAAAACTCGAATTTTTAACTGACTTTAAAATGTTTGCATTATTATTCAATAAATAATAAATAAATAAAATAAAAACAATATAAGGGTTAGATTCGAAGATATGAAAAGTTCGAATAGAGTTCAATAGTCGGCTTAGGCGAAAAGTTTAATAATTGTACGAATCATTATAAACGGATGATTATAAAAATGAGTAGTGATAGTTTTTTGACTAACAATGAAAAACAAGACAATATAATCTTTTAAATTATATATTATGTGTTAATTAAGAATTATGTACCAATTATTAACCAAGTTTTAAAAATATATGGCTTTAAATAAAATATCAAGTGTGAGTAATAATAATTATATAGAAGATATATATAGTAGACATATGTTATATAGAGATAATAGTCCTTATTCAATTTTATTTATATTTATATTGAATATCCATTCTTTTAATATAGTTTGCGTATACATTTAAATAAACATATTTTAATTATATGTTTTGTTTAATTTTTAATGGACTAACAAATATTGAAATATTGGAGCTTTTGGATAACTATTTTTTTGGATGGTATGTTCATTGACCTCTCTTCTTCCATATAAATTTTTATATGTTTTCCGCCACAAAACACAGCTCTGAAGCTAACAGTAGGTATATAGAAAACACCCTCTATATATTGTATTGCATTCCACAACGTAGCGTCGGTACTCATATTGAGCGGCTGCAAAAGGCGTCTGTTTTTCAGGTTAGGTGCGGCCTATTTAAAAGTGACCTGTCACTACGTGCAAAGCTTACAGGACTGACATTGCGCTTGTAACCCATCGTCAGGGCTTTGCTCCCTTTTAGTTTTCTGGATAAAACATGAGTCAAAATCCGATGATAATACAGTCTCCAAATGGTACCCGTACTGATACGGCGAATCCACCTGCTTCGGCAGCACGCACAACGGATTTGGAGGTGCGAAACTCTCGTTCAAACAGAATCAATGCGATAGGTACAACTGTAACCACATATGGACCTATGTTCCCCTGGGAACGTACTGGATTGATTGATTGATATATTGTAGAAAAAACACTTTAACATTAAAAAATTTAAATGATTTAAATATATATATGTTGTTGTTCTTGTTGTTGTTGTGATGTGAGTTAGTGCTATTGCGCACTTTTACTCTCTTTTGGCTGGGGGTGGGGGCTTATTCCTGCTCCACACTAAGCTTTAACTATACTAGAATTATTATCATTTATTTATCTTTTAATTGATGACGGACCGTAGATCAGCATATCTTGCTGTGCTGATGTGGACTTAAGGTTTGTTAGGGCGGGGGTTGGGCAACGTATCAACTTTTGTGAATAATTTTAGCGCTCTGTTCTTGATATATTTTTTCACTGAGTTGATTCTTAGATCTCTATGCATGTCTGTTGTTCTAATATAGCAAGGAATCTTAATATATATATATATATTAACAATTAGAATATATGAGCAAAAAAATTTTTTTAAATTTTTATATTTCTATTTAAATATGTATATAAGAGCAGTAATAACTCATTAGAAAGTTTCAATACAAATTACAAAATTAATAAAAAAAATTATAATTTTCTATAAACTTGGGATGTATTTTTATTTTTAAGTTAAGTTAAAATTGCGTTATCTTATTAACTTATTTTGATTTATAAAAAAATAATTAAATTATAATTACTTTATAAATATATTATAAATAGAACGCAATTTTAAATAATTTTTATTTTAATGTCAAAATTTGCATTGACATTTTCGTATTGAATAATATACATTAAACATTAAAATTAATTTATAGAAAAGTTTACTTGATTTAATTGTTATATGTATTTGTATCTTGTTTATAAAAAATATATTTAAATATTCCGTCCTTGAGCTTAAAAAAATTGTTTGTAAAGCAGAACTAGTTTATTAAAATGTTAAAGTCGTTCTTTGTGTGAAAACTGTAATTATAATTCTTTTATAAATTTTAATTTCAAATTTAATTTATAATACAGTCTACAATAGTTATACTTTTGTTGATGAATTGAAGTAGTTGTTAGGAAATGGTGGTAAAAAAAACAAAACAATAATCTAATACAAATTAGTATAACAATTATCTTATAGTAATTAAACAATTAAAATATAGTATAAAAATATAGTAAAGTTTTTTGCTAATATTTTCTATTATTATTATTGGTCAATTTTTATTTAGAAAAGTTCAATACTTAAAACAATAAAAAAAAAAAGAAAATTATTTGTAATATTAAAACCGAATACCTATTTACAGACATATTGCATTAAAATATAAACAACACTGTTAATTTATCACAATTTTGTTTCTTTTAATGCATTATATTATATAAACCAAATAAGAATTATAATTTTTCACGCATAAAATTAGAAATTGGTATATTAAACTATTCTTTTTATATGCGAAAATTATAACCATCATTATAATTTTTTTATAACAAAATTATAACAATTGAATTTATTGTACAATTTGGTATAGATACTCTCCAGAAAATTGTGGCAAAAGACAATTATCTAGTTGAAATTCACATACTAATTATTTAATAGTAACAAAACACTCAATCCTCCATAAGAAATTATAAAGTTGTCATTCAAAAAACTGCAAACGTCTAAACAATTGGAGAAATGCAAACATATTAATATATCACCAAAATATTAAAATAATCATAAACATATTATATCAATAAATAAAACTGATAAATATATTCAAGTAACTTAAACTTGATGAGAATTATATTTTTGTTTTTGTTAAAATACAATTACATGATTTCTATGCAACCTAACCAAATTACGAAATAAATTTTAATTGTATGGTTTTTTTTTATCTAAGAAAAACAATGTAATATACCGTTAAGATATATTTGTATTCATATCTGAAGTTTGAGGAAAGGTTCTGTTAACTGTTATATAGGGACTTAATAATGTTTTTATCACAATAACTTATGAACAAAAATTATTACATTATTTAAAAAATATATATAATTAAATAATATTTTAAAATATTGTAGCTTGAGAAGAATAGAATTTAATTTCGTGGAGTAGTAAAATATCTATAACTATCATACTCCATACCTTTCTGTAACAAATTTGTGAGATGATGAATTTATAAATTGTATAACTTTTAAAACTTAGTACTATTCAATATTTTTATTACTGATATATATGTATGTATATAGGTATGTTTATTTATTAGATTAGTCATTTTAATATTAGTCATAGAGCATTTACGATCAAAACATGAAATTATTTAAATGAAAACTATTATAGGTTTTATGGTCTTAAGTACGAGTATAGTCATGTTAGTGGAGTGTATCTTTTATATGAAAATCATTGAAATCTTTTAGTTTAAACTTTCCTTTTTAATAGCTCGGTTGCAGTTTTCTTAAAATAATATAAACCCCTTTTAAAATTAAATTCAATATGCAAGAATTAATTATGAAAATGTGATTTATAAAGTAAACACAATAATTTAGTAAAAAATGCTGATTAAACATGTTGCATGTAATATCTCGGTAATCTATTAAAATTGTATTATAAAAGTGCAGCTGGCACGTGCCTAATATGGGGCAATATTCAAGAGACATATGAGTAAGTAATAATTCCCGTGATAAATACACGGACAGACAGTAGATATGGACAGTAGACAGCTAAGCACACCCCAACTAATATGATGTAGAGTTAAATAAATGTTAAAACAAGTTTAAACTAAAAAAAGATACAAATTACATGTATAGAAAAAGTTTACTACTTCGTAATATACGAGTATGTAACTGGTCGAAATTATTTTCATTGCATTTGCCTTACTTTATCTTAGAGATACAATGAATACGGTTTACGGCTAGGTTAATGGTAGGTAATGGTTGCTCTCTAATGGAACCCATTGAAATAAATAAATATTTATGATTTGTAAAATGGATAGCAAAACTCGTACGGCCTTGAAATGTATTGTAGTTAAGCTATTGCAAAAATGTAGTTTATATAGCAAATAAATTTTATTTCTAAACTGCATTAATTGTAGCAATTTTTTATAAAAATATTCAATGCAACAACGATTTTTTGAGTTTTATATTCATTAAAAAGTATTTTTAAATATATTTAAAAGGATTTTTTTGATATGAAGATTTCTATAAAAAATAATTAAAATAATTTTATTTTTCTGTACATAAATTTCCTGACACATTAATTATAAAGTCAGATAACGTATCGAGAAGCATCGTCCACCGAAATACAAAGACATTTAATAAAATCATAAAGATATTCTATCGTGCAAATATATGTGCTATGTTTATCCATAATCTGAGAGTAATTAATATAAAACTTATATCATACATTATGTTATAGACGTTATATGTCAAACGCATATCAGACTAACTAATGTAAAACTTATATATGATATAATAGACGTTATAGACGTTAGATGTATGATACGTTTTAGACGTATCAATAATTTCTACTTCAAAGTGCAACATACTGACGCCTAGCATGTTAGTATATTTACTATTAAATTGTTAAAATCAAGTTTACTATTTTTAAAATATATGCAATTTCAAAATGTCTTACAACATGCATCAACACTACCGTTATTATAGGTGGGGTCACACTAATTACTAACGTCGTTGTTAATAACGCTGGTGCCCAAGAATACGAATAAATATTTTCACATAAAATTACAAGATTAATGTGGAGCAAAATTTAAAAACTAAAAAAAGATATTATAACGTTGGAAGTCAGTCGTCTCTTAACCAATGTAGTTGTTTCGTTTGTATTTCTGGATAAATGTATAGAAAGTAACTGTTGAATTCCAACTATTCTTTCACCATGGCAACTTATGAAGAGTTTATCGAAGCATCGGAGTACCCAACAATTCTCTCGTTGAGTTTCTTTTTTAATATTTGTCTTAAAGTTTGAGTATCTTCGTAAATCATTTGTAACTGCAATAGTTAAAAACCAACACCCAGGAATGCATAGAGAATAGATTCCGAATAGGGGATCGTGGATTTCAGAATACATGGAAAAGAGTGAAGTAGATGACTAAAGGGCTTAACATTAACATACAAATCTAAAAGTTGTTCACTTTTAATATATATTGTATAAATTTTTAATAAATAAAAGGAAAATTGTGTTTTTTATCTAAATTTTTTTTTTTACGCCTAATATGTATGAATACAACAAAGTGGGTCGATTTGTTGGAGAGGAAAATTGTGTGTTTTAAAAAATGTGGTAACTTAAAATTCACCATAGACATATGGATTCTTTGTTGGTTCTATTTATAATAATCTATGGATTCGTGTGCTACTATATGGCTTAAAAACAATAATAGATTATTCTTTATATACATTGTCTATATATATTCTATGTATTTCTATTTTTTAATATATATTCTACTTATTATACATGTGAATTAAAAAATAATTTACTTTTCAGTTAATAGTTTCCTGCATTTTGGCAACATTGAACATTGCCTATGCGCAGCACAGAGACTACACAACCCCAGTACCGATATTAAAACAAATCGATCGCCATAACGATGATGGTTCATACACATATGGTTATGAAGCCGCCGACAAAAGTTTCAAAATTGAAACAAAATATGCTAATGGCGAAGTCTTTGGCAAATATGGTTTCGTAGATGATCAGGGTCAAGTACGTGAAATAGAATATGGTGCCAGTAAACGAGGTTTTGAACCAGCCGGTATGCAAAATATATTTTTATTTTTAATAGAAAATTTTCTTTACATTTGCTTACAATTTTAGGAAGTGATATTAACGTACCACCTCCAACACTAACCAGTAACAATCCATATCCATTAGGACCAAACGAAATTGATGATGGCCAATATCGTGAAGATCCCGCCGTTTATTATAAAGACCAAAAATTTAATCGACCAATTGCTGCAAGCAAATTTAGTTTAAATAATAATAATAACAATAACTATTATCAACAACCATATCAACAACCCTCTTATGCTCCCCCACCACCACCACAGCCACCACGACAAGAATACAGACCACAATATTATAATCCACCTCCACCACCACCTCCTCAGCCACGTTATCAACCACAACCCTATCAACAATCGTACCAACAACCCTACCATCAGCCAAATTACAATTCATATAATAATGGTCCTACATTCCATCATCCCGCCATTAAGAATATTGATATTTGGAGTGGTTCATATAGTGTGGACTATACGGGGCGTAAATAGTCGTATTGAAAATTTGTTGGAGGAGTTTAATAAGCTGTTGTATAATATGATTTAGTTTAACAAAAAAAATTATTTAACAAATACTAAAGATATGTCTTACTTAAGAGACTTCGACTGATTTGTTATCAATGCTTTTGCAAATATCAGTCACTAAATTTTATGTTTTATTTTATTATAAATTGTAATATGTATATAAGTAAATATATATAAACGAATACATATGTGTATATACGAAACTTTTTTAAATAAAATGTTGCGTATTATTGATTTTTTTCAAGATTGTTTCAATTTTTCTATTAGATTTATTTGCTAGAATAGAAATTTCTACCCCTAATAGAAAGCTATGCTGTTGGACCGTGTATTGAAGACTTGCATGTGATTTCGATGTCATCATATAAGTGGTAGATTGTAAAAAACGGTCAGTTCCCGTTTTATATTAATGAGAACATTATATATATGAATAGTACAAAATTTAGGCATTGTTGTAAACAATGTATGTAATACGATTTCGTAGATTGATGTGAATATTAATTTATTATTAAATGATCAATAATAAATTGAATTATTTCTTTCTAAAACTTATAATTGCTATTAAATAAATGCCCTTCCATCTAACATTGGAGTTAATCAGTTACTTATGTAGTTTCAGCGAACAATCAAAAAGGTTTTCATATTTTACTTAATTAATAGTTGTTATAACCTTAATATATCACTTCATTCACATTCATTGTTAATTATTATTTCTCTTTCTCTTCTAGTACCTTTGACCCACAGCTTGTTTGATTTTATATTTTAATAAACTAGTATTTTTAAATATAGACTTTGTTGTTAATTAAGGAATATATCAAACTCAACTAAAGTATTTTTCCAAAAATTACTATAATTTACAATAATTAAGTTATTGTACATTTTGCTAAATCAATTAGAGATCATTTATTAATATTTGCGTTTAACAGTGGGGTATAGATAACTACAGATAATATGGATTTGATAGATTTTTAAACAATTTCAAGTAAGAAAATTTATTATTTATAAACATTAATACAAACTGTCTATCAAATAAATGAATTTTTCATAATTTATTTATTTTATAGTGTATTTTGAATCTTTATAGATAATAGGTTGAGCTACTACCTTCCGATCGGCTTTGCGCAACCGGAGATAATAAAATTTTCTAAAACTTTTTGCAGCGTGTAAACTCAAAATATATTTTATACAATATATATGAGTATTTAAAATATATATATAATTTTTAAGTTTGTTAAAAAATTTTTATGTATTATCGCAACAGTGTTCAATAAAATCCTACAATATTATATATAAGTTCGTAGAAACATTGTGTTGAAATCTGAGAACATAGTACATATACTAGGTTATAAACTTTACATATTATTAAGATCATTAAAGATTTTGTATAGAAAATATGCCAAATCAATAAAAAGATAAATAATTAGAAATTAAAATTAACTTAATCAATCAGTGATCATAAGAATTCTCATGGGATCGGCATTAAACAGGGGATATTGAGTATAGATGCTAGAAGTGTGTAATGACAGTTTAAAACATTCTATAAAAAAATTATTTGATGTATATTTTGAGTTCAGACTGTGATCGGTGGTACCTTATGTAGAGAATGAAAACAAATAATATTACAGTAAGAAGATATATGTAATTAAAATATATTAAAAGATAAAGAGATAAATTGTCTGAAAAAACTCCTTTGCGTAATTTTAAATAAAGATATTGGAGAGAAACATTTGGAGAGAAAATAATGTGCATAAGAATTCTGTCCTTATATTGCTTTAGTATTGTGATTAATAAAAATGGAATATGATTCAAATTATATTTTACTTTGCGATATCATATTATAATATTGTAATGAACATAAAACTATATAACAACTATTTGTACTATTGCCGATATATTATTGTATTTTGAATATTTACCTATATGTTAAGTTTAGAAATACATGATATAATTTATTTATGTCAAACCTCTTTCCTGTAACAATAAGTATAGCTTATACCTCTATATTATTATATAATTTTAATTAAAACTCCAGTAAACCAGTTCAATATAAGTACATACATGTTATTTTGCTTAATAGAAACATATACACCTCACTATTTCGATATATGTTATTTTTAACACTTAGAAGATTTTCGTTAGAATTCCTTTTTCTATGAAAAGCGACTGACATATATATATCATTAAATATACCATAATTCTTAAATATTTAAGACCGAGGTTTTTAAAGAATCTTAAACACTTTTTTTGAATTTCTTAATAATAACATATAGATAACATATTAGTAATAAATACCTAATGAATTTTACAATATTTTGGAATCAACTTATTTATAATGGTCTCAACTTATTTATAATGGCCTTATTAAATTGTATGATTGAAGAGTAGTTTTTAATAGCTGCGTAAGATGTTGCATTTATCGATAAGATAGGTAACAATAGAGTGATATAGAGAAGTCACATGAATCTATCAAGGTATATTGAAACTATCTTGTAGTAGCTATTAATGACATGTGATTCTTTAAAAAAACTTAATGATTAATCTGTTACTGATTTAATTTCGTTATTAAAGTGATCATTTTTAAGTTAGCTACTCTATACATATGTTGTCAATATAAACATTATTAAGAATTGCAAGCATGATAGTTGTATTTGATCCTCTCAAAAATAATCTACCAACCTAGATTTGGTACATAATGCCATCAAAATAGATTATATACTGACTACATCTGTTTTGTTGCTGAAAGAAAAATAACCGAAAAAAGTTGGTTCCTTAAGGTCCATTTGCTGCATCCTCTGGTTAATTATGTTTTATATAAAAATATTCACGTTAATTGAGTATTTCTGAAAAACACTCTACAAGATCGCTGATTCTTCAAGAGTAGGCAATATCTACTGCATACAAACAATCGTTTATAAACTATATAATCGTCGCTGCATTGTGACACCGTTATAGGTAATAGTTGCACTGACTTGCCTATATCGGGGGAACCGAAGATTTTGCTTTAAAAGAAGAGGAAGTTGAGGCAGCAGTCCTGAAGAGAACATGTTTAGTTTTGTCTCGAGAAGAGGAGCATTTTATGTCGAGACTCAAATTGTAGTAGTAATGTATACTAAGCAGAGACAAAGAAATATTATTTAGCATCAGATTAACGCCAAGCGATGGAGTTTTTATGAAACATATATGGATCTTAGTAATAAAGGTTTTAAATTAGCTTTTTATAAGCATTAAAATTTTATTTTTCTTAAGTATGTAAATAGCAAAAAGCTTTAAAATTGGTACTCTCTGTTTATCTACAAGTAGTTTTACTTACTTAATTATTCTTGTCGAATTTATAAATTAAAAATTTTTTTTAAAAATTACTTAATTCAATCAATCTCATTGTTGTTGTAAAGCTTGGTGATTGGCGCACATAATATTGATTAGAAAATTTTTACTTACCGGAATGTTTTGATTTTTTTACACTGCATTCAGAAGTATCTAATAACTATTGTTAAACTGCAAAGCAAAACGTTCCGCCTGAATTAGTTCAAGTAAAATCGGTTTAAAAAGTTATGCTCGAACTTGTTTTAAATTCAGTATTTTAAGTATTACGTAGATAAATTCAATTGAAATGCACTATAATACTATAATAAAATAAAAATAAAATAAAATGTAATAAATCTATACAAAAGTGCATATTTTTAAGAGTATTTGCCTTTAAAATGAATTTTTTTTTTAAAGATTTATACAATTATTTATAAGCTATGCGTGTGTAGTGGTAGTGTAGTATTATTAATAAAAAAGATACTTATAGCAAACTTTTCTTTATGTTTTTCCATTTTTTAGATACGTGCTTTTTGCACATGACAGTGGAAGTTGGTACTCGTACTAAGGCAAATAGTAGATACCGCACTCTTGCATTGTGCTGTGCTGGAATTTTACTAAATTATGCAATGCGTTCACTTTCAAATGCAATTGAACTGTATCGTATGAGTACGTTGGTCAGATACAGTAAATATGGGTGTTGGTTGAGCAGATACTTTAGTATTAAATTTATATTAAATTTTATGAGTGGAGCTTGCTATTCTGGTAAATCTTTTAGAAAATATTTTATAATAGTTAAAAATAGTTTGTTTTTATTTTTATTCTTTTATTTTCTATAAAATCTTTTTTTATGGCTTTTGTAGAGTAAGTGAAACCCGTTCTGTGCTTGGTTGGTGGTACCAATACCTTTAAAAAGTTGTTATTTATTACTATTTCTCTGTGGTTGTCGGAAAGCTTGCATAGATATTTCATTCGACTACTTTGAGGTGATAGCAATTTAATAATAAATAAATTATTTAATTATACGAGTGCATATATCTATCTTTATCTGTTATTGCAATTGTGGGAGTTGATATTAATACAAGATACATTGACTGCAGTGTACAAGTATAGTACATTATGTTCTGTTACATTTTTGTTTTGGTCTAACAATTATATACAATATAATGTAAAGAAAAAAATATATATTTTTTGTTAATCCTTGAGTGAGTGGAAAATTGCAGCAACAATCAAGTGCATTCACTTTGACAAATTAATAGACAATAGACAATCAATAAGAATCAATTGAATGCAGTTATAAATTATATATACATACCGGTACAAATTTAATGCTAATAATTTATTTAATACTTTTATTACATTTAATTTCTGAGTTTTTAGTTTCAAAGACGTACTAACGTATTAAATAACAACAAAACTTGTCGCTTTTTCTAATTTCAAACAAGGAAATATTCAATAAAAATATCTTGTATTTTAATGACAATGACCTCGACAATATCCATTCAAGCAGTCAGGCTAACAGTAATCCAACACCGCCACTCTCTACGCAATTGAAATGTATTGCGAAGTGTAAACGCAATTTTTACATGACACTGACTCATTGCAAATGTCCAACAATGGCTGCTCCGAGCATATATTGAATGGCTTTGTGTATAGATACTACCCGGTCGGTGTATGTGGGTTTTGTAGTTGTCTTTGGAGTGTGTTAGCTTTGCAAAAATCATTAAAAATGAATTATCATTCTTGCACCGCAGCAAAATATTCCATTCAAAGCAAAGCTATTTTTAGTAATTTCCATAATAAATTGAATAAATACAAGAGAATTACAAAAGGTGAACTACAAATTATTGCTATGCAAGGTCAAAACATGTGAGGAACGGCTTTTCAGCTGATATAAACTGTTGAATTTTTAATGCCCATAGTTTCAAATTTATAA